ACGACGGTACTTTTTATAACTCTATTTTCAAATAAAATTGTGATACTTATGGGGAAATGTTGGAAATGTGATACAAATCTCGGGGGTTAAAAATAAATCACCCATTTTAATTGTAAAAATCAATAAAGGGGTGAATTCTGAGCAAAAAATGCTCTAGAACATTTTTAGAGAAAATTAATTTTTTTCTAGTTATTTGGGATTGAAGATGTTGATTTTTCAACTAAAAACTGCATATTTTTCCGTCATTTTTTATAAATAACTTGAAAACCTCGTGTTTTATCGCAAAACTCACGTAATGCAAAAATGAAGCTTTTCGAATAACTAAACGATTTATTTTTTGATGATTACCGTAGGTGTAATAATAGCCGAGTTATCACTCTGTAAAGGCGATTTCTTATTTTTCGAAGGCTAAATTGCGAATTTTAAAAAATCTCGTAAAAATGAAGAGTTCAAGACTGTTCAACTATAGAGGTTAAATTGTAGCTCGTGTAGTTTCCTACAAATTGATAGTTTTTATTTTTATGATTTTAGTCATTGATTTTGTTGTTATTTTTAAAAATGTTATAGAATATTTTTTACTTTGAATTTGAATTCATCCTTTTATTGACTTTTGCAAATAAAATGGGTGATTTATTTTTCACCCCCGTCTGCCAGTGGGTTTAGGGCAACAAGCAACAAATTCTCTTAGAAGGGCTAAGTCGTCATCTGCTGTAAACCTAAGCCTCTTTTCCATATTTCTTAAATCGTCGGGCCATATTTATTTAACTAAAACTAATCCCAGCTACTTAAATATCAAATTACCTAATAAAACTAAAGTAATAATTCAAAACAATTCAAACATAACCTAAAATTAGTCTTGGGAAAATTCGGATTAAATAATACGATTAATTCGATAGTAAATTAAAACTAACTAATTCGAATTATCTTTTTCGATATATCGAGATAAAAATTAGTAGTATTTTACATTATATCTGTGGTTAACCGAATTACAAATGAACATAAAACATAACCTCCTATGGACGAATACGAATATTAGTAATTAGTATAGTACTATTAGTAGTATTCTTTCGTTCTGAACGAACTGAAAATTTTCACTTAAACTGATTTATAAAGGGAATCGACAAAGAAAGGAACGATCCGATATAGAAAAATCCAGAAATCATTGTTATTTCCTATACCACGTAGGAATAAATCAGTTTAAGTGAAAATTTTCATTTCGTTTAGAACGAAAGAATACTATTATTTGGTTCATTTCCATCTCACCCAAATTTCACCGAACACCTGCCAAACACTAAAATTAATTTTCTTCTTTTATCTAAATAATTATTGATTGCAACTGATAAAATAAAAAGAAATACGAAAAATACGATACTCGGCACTTTTAAATTTAAAACTTTAAATGATGGTTTAATTTATTAAACGGCTTCGGCACAGTTAATAGAATACATTGAATAAAGATATATTTTTTATTTTTTATTCAGTGATAGAATATAGGTATGGCAATGGTTCATAATTTGTTTAAAATAGCCCCTAGACGAGCACTAGCTGGGACGAATTTATTTTTAGGTTAAATTTATAATACTACTAAATAATTCGAATTATTAATTCGATTGTGAAATATGAATTATTACTAATTATTCGATGGTGAAAATAATTCGATTATTCCCATCACTACCTAAAATAAAAGATCTCGCCGGCCGGCCCCGGTTGTCAAATACCCGCACATGCTCATTTAAGCACTTTTTAAACGTTATTTAGAAATAGCGCTTGGTGTAATTGATCCGCAAATTACGTCAGGCGGTAACGTTATTAGCGGGTGTTGCGTTAAAAATTGACTCGCGCATATCGTAACCAGAAGGTACGCGTAAATACTGCATGACGCTATTCAGTTTTCCGATATATCTCTAATAACTGTGCCGGTCAGGCGCTGTGCACAATTTTAGAGCCCATAAGTGGGCGTGCTATGGGCGCAAACTAGTAACCTAACTAGTACCCGATTCCGAAAATTGGAACCACGAAAAACAATAAAGAAAAAACAAAGTTTATAATCTGTATAATCTGTGTCGCTACTATGTAACTTTTGTTTCTTACATATATCTCTATTCACTGTTAAAATTTACGTCAATCGGTACGGGTGTCAAGAATTCGGAGGTAATACCCTATTTTTATCCTCGCTTTCTGGCCTATTATCTCCGTGTGACAAAAAAAATCAGGTTTATGTAATTGTCAGCTAATGCACAGATATCATTCCTCTAATTCATCCTCCAATCCGGCCTAATTCGGATTGACTTATACCTGCTTTCGTCAATTTGCCGTTTAACCGCATTACACATTCCACGTTAACCGTGACTCTGTCAAGGGATAAAATAATCGCATTTCGCGAAGTAATTCCCGATCAAAAACTCCCACGGGAATCGCGCACGGGAACGGCTATGAGTGTTTTGTCGAGTAATTTACATGCAGCAACACAGCTCTTTGCTTTTGGGAAAATCGTAAACCAATGAAGTTAGACCGACATTGGACAGATTGATAACTTCGTAATTCGAAAATTGAGTTGTAATTCCGTAAGGACTATAGGATTGAAATTGTTTTGTTTTCTCTATTTATGATAGCATGTGATTCAATAATCTTGTTCTTTAAAATTCGAATTTTTAATTAAAGATGAGTGCATTCGTCGTGAGTCGTCTGTCATACCATCACTCCGATCATATTTAGGGCATATTCCTTATCTTGGTTATGGTTTTATGTTCCGTTTCTATCGGTTTTCTTATTACGGAACACGGTTTCTGAAAAATTCGGTTATAACTGTCACCAAAATAACCAGCGCGAGAAGGCTGATTTTTCTGGTTTTGTTTGTCAATCAATGTCATTTATGTGACAGAAATCAAGCAAATATTGGAAGTTCGAATGAAATTCTCATTTAATTTCTAAAATTTGTAATAATATTTTGTATTTACATCCAAAAGCAATGTAGGTAGGCAGTAAAGGTAAATAAGATTTCATTAACTAAATAGAATTACTTTTAGGACCATTTAAACTTATCATGCAGCCATTGTTTCTTAAAGTCAGGACCATTTAAAGAAAACATGAAAAACAAGACAAGTAATCGTGAATGTTTTGTAAGCTATAAAAATATAAATATTGATTAGATTTGTTTATTTATTATTAATATTGGACCTGCAAATCTTCACTTGAGCTGTCTAACGAGTTTAACAGTTTATTAATAAAGTACTTTTCAATATTAAACTCCATGGAAAAGAAGAAGCAAACGTAAAAGCAGAGAATAGGTACATTAAAAATGCATAAAAGATAAATTTTATAATAGAGGTATTGAAATTTAAAAAACGTCAACATTTGACGTTTCCAGTATTTTACCAAACCGTTCCGTATCAAACCGATATTTTTCAGGAACCGCTCTTTACCGTAGTTTACCGGTCTGGTTCGCCTTGTTTTGCAACGGAATAAAGCCTCAAATATGAGCGGTAATATTTGAAACAAACCAATAAAATGTTATGTCTAAAATGTTAAATGCAGAACGAAAAATTATTATTATTAATTTTATGTCTAAAATGTTAAATGCAGAACGAAAAATTATTATTATTAATTTTATTAGCATCAATGCTATTCAATATTTTAGGAAATATTTTACTCAACTTAAATTTTTATAAAATTTTATTAAATTATTAAATTGATATTTAATATAGCTTCTTATAGCTTATAGCTTCTGAATAACGGTCTAGGTAAAGCATCTAGCTTATTTTCCAGCTCAAAATTAGAATTTAGAGTTAATAACTCGCATTTTCGTTCGAGGACACTGTCATATTTATTTCCAACCAATAATAAACGAGAATATTCGCATAATTTAATAAAATTACTGTAAATCACTATAAATAATGAAGTGTTTGTGATTGAGCTGTAATTTCTGTATTATTAATCGGGTAAATGATGGAGATAAACAATTGTGATTGATTAACATTTTAATTTAAGGTTAAACTATTGTTAACAACATTCTGAGAATTGGAATAATGAATTGAATTGAAACAGCGATTTACATTGACAATTTGGTTATGTAAAATTTTGAGTTACAATTTTGATGATTATACATAAGAAATAACAAATTATTGCGTCTACCCCACGTCTACCCTACATCATAGTTTTACATTTTTTAAATAAAATTAGAACGACACTGATAAACCGGAATTTAAGTCGGCCATATTTGAGGCCTATCGCGGTGTACCTAAGATTTTTCATATGCTCCTTCCTTAGTCTTCTTATTCAAAGGTAGCAGTTAGTATAGTGGTCAGCGACATAGATGTAGTAGTATTTTGGTTTAATGGCCACAGCTATCCGGCTGGGTAATACAGTGATCGTTTTTTAATTAAAAATTAAATAAAAACATTATAAAATTATAAAGCTAGAATAGTAGACGGTTTTATATTAACTCTGTTTTTTTGAAGTTAACTGATATTTTAAAATTTATTTATTTAGAGTTTATAAAAAGCTCTCAAAAAAAATATATATATTTCAAACTTCAATTTAATAGCTGTTAGTAAGAAGTTTCACTTCAGTACAATAGTTATTTATGATATAAGTGCTAAAAGTGGTATTTTATTTTGTGAGAAGGGAAGCTTGGGACACGGTGGATGGAAGTCCAGTACCGTAGCGGAGGGTTATATAGAAGACTCTTTACAAAATAAAACGAGTATTTCAGGTCAAACTTTATCCAGAACCTCAGCGGATACTACCATTGCTTCTAACCCTGGTACAAGATTCATGACTTTTACCATCAGTGACATAATGTCACTTTTTAGGCACTGACAGCATGCGTTAAAAATTACATTTTTACTGACGTTTGTAGAAAAACAATTTTTTAGTACTTATATAGAGAAACAGATATTATTATTTTTTAATACTTACTTTAAGCAGCGATATTTTTATAAGATTATTACAGTAACGGCTTTACTATTAAGATAGCAACAACATTTCGCATTTTCTTCTAGTACCGCCCATCCGAGCGTTCCTCCAACTCCAAGACCGTCCTTCTTCTCCACGTCACCGAACCTTCTCCTCCACCTCCGGCTCACTTCTACCTCCTTTCTCCAGCGAACCGACCCGGACCAACGCCGCCGACGCCGGCGTCCGCGGTTCCCGCACCACGTGCCGGCGTCACGTGGGCCGTGGGCGCCGCGGCGTCTTGCCGACGCCCCGCGCGCCATTGGCCAGGGCGTGGACAGGGGGGCGGAGGGAGACAGGCGCCGAGGAGAGGTTGGAGAAGAAGGAGGAGGAGGTAGGGTAGATGGGAGGTGTGCGGGAGAAAATAATAGTAAAAAAGACTGGGATACTTTAGGTGATATAAAGTTCGATGGGGATTTGAGCGGAGCGAGGGGTATTGATTTAAAGTTTTAAAGTGTGATTTACATAATTCCCGGTAAAGTTTGGAAAACTGATATAAAGGTTGTTTTGTGAAAAACAGTGAAATACCTACTTTTTATAGCTCTAGAAATATTAAACAGTCGCTACACTATCCCCGAAATTTTTTACGAAATATTTCTTGAAACATTTCGCAAAACATTTCTGAAAATAGTACGTTAAATATAAGCCCGTTATAATTATTTATTATTTCTGGTTATGGTAAAGTAACATTTATACTGTAATTTGTGGCAAAGTTTAGTTTACAAATTTGGTTTCGTTTTTCTAGTTTTGATTGTTTAAATCCTTCCATAATAAATACTAGTTGAATGGATTTATATCAAACCATCCAGGGTGCTAGTAAAAGTATCGTTTGCAGATTTTTCTTAAGAACAATAAAAGAACATTGCTTTTAAATAATGTGCGTGGACCATACTTTTCTTCACATCGGGCCAATTAATAATTTTCACAAGCGGATATATTGATAATGTTACCAGTATTACTCATCAAGCAATACTACTGTTATATTAATCAATTAAAGCAGTAAACAAACATATCATATACAATTTTATATACTAAATCATTATAATAAAATTAAATCATAAAAATATTGTAATTATATTCCTGCAGTTTAAGTGAAAAGTCTTGTTGCTAAATATCTACTATACATATAATAAACTCGTGTTCAAATATTAATTTTGGGGAATATTTATCAATATAACATAAAACAAAATATAATTATCGAAATATCATCGTAACAACAGCTATTATAGAAACGTCTAGGTTTACTTATTTCACTGAGATTTATGAAAAAAAAATCCTTTGCCTCGAGTACAGATACCGCCACGATTTGCAAATAGCTCAAAACAAAACAAAATTGAACGAGGCAACAAAAAACGCCAAAAAAATCCCCCCTCGCTCTCCCCACGAGTAGTTTCAGGCGCTTTTAAGAAGAAGTGGGTCAAGACAACTGGAAATAAATCGAAATGCATTCAAAGTTGGGCGACGAAATACGACCCTGACATGGACATGTTTTGAATTCTCTCTGGCATAGTAATAATAGATAATAATAAAAATATTGTAAGCGATAGTGTACATAGATCTCCTGAAACTATTTTGCAACAAATACTAAGAATTACTAATTAATTATATTATAATTCCGATATTTTAATACATGACAAAAAAAATAAATAGAAAATATCTATCGAAATTTGTGAAACACAATCCTTTGATAAACCGCATGAAGTTGTTGTGTGATTTTACTTTATAAGATAATAGTTGATATAGATATAGATAATAAATGGCAAGATAATAATTGATACTGATTTTATGATGCTAATAACCAGTTCTCTTACAATTACAGCTGTAAACGTAAAGATTTTTCGAATACGAGTATGTATTTGTTACTTCTTACTTTCTTTACTTTATTATAAATACAGAACACGATAATTATTACTGATGATGAGCAATTTAGAGGAGAATCATACGATAGTTATTCAAAATAAATTTAAACACATTTGAATGTAGAATGTTTAGGAGGGGAGTTAATCACCGCGACCTTACGGATCTATTGTGTGTTCCCCTTTCTTGAGTTATAACAAGTTATAACTCATCATACAGTCTCAGGGCTTCAGCAAAAGCCAGTATCTGAGACGGCTTCACAGAGGCCAGCTCTCCATCCTCGACATCATCCGTACCAAAGTTCATGGTACGAATGGTCGTCGTCTCGACGCACTCAGTGATAAGGTGTTCTGGTGTTTCCCCATTTTCCCCACAGAATCTGCATTCGCCGTTGTTTCTCAGCTTCAGCCTACTGAGGTGTTCGTTGAGGAGACAGTGTCCTGTGAGACCCCATGACAATCCGAAGATTGTTTTTACTTAAATCAAGGAAAATCTTTGATTTTTCTCGGTCGTAATTTCTGAGGAACTTTTTCGAGTGTCTTAGACCGTTGGAGGACACCTATTCCAAGTTACGGATGGAGTCCAGATTCTTCAGTTCCGCTTTCAGTTGGTTCCCGTTTGGAAAACAGAACGGTTCTGGTCCAGGTAGTAGAGTGTTCGCTCCTTTCCTAGCTAGATCATTTGCTTTTTCATTGCCGTCTATCCCTTGGTGAGCAGGCACCCAGAGTAGGAGGACTTTATTTTCTTTGTCTAATTTGTTGACCTTCTCTAGGCATTCTTTGACCAACTTCGAATTGACGGTTACTGAGTTGATCGCGTTAAGTGCTGCTTGACTATCGGATAGGATGGCAATTTCCTGTTTTCGATGGTTCCTATCTAATTGTACGCATCTTTCGATAGTAGATCTTTCGTAAATTTCTGCCTGAAGGATACTGGGGTAGGTACCCAATGGTTCGGAGTATTTAGTTTTCGCCCTAAATACTCCTATCCCTGTCCCTGCTTTGGTTTTGAAAGCATCAGTATACCACGTTATGGTATGGTCTTTTATATGCTGAGTAAGCGTTTCTTCCTTCCAATCATTTTTATTACTCAATACATCAATGAGGTGTTTCTTAAAGTTGTAAATTCTTGGTATGTCATCCACTGGGAGTTGGAGAAGTGGAATTTTCTTTTTGAGGGTGTTCCAAGTCCCTAACCTGAAAATTCTCCCAGTACTGTTTCCGTCAATGGCCATTCTAATCATTGTCGCATTGGCATAACTACCGACGACAATGTGCAGTGGTGTTAGGTCTAGAATGACCTCCATGTGCAGTGGTGTTAGGTCTAGAATGACCTCCATTGCTGCTGTTGGACATGTTCTCATAGCACCTGTGATGCAGATACAGGCCAGTCTCTGTACTTTGCACAGGTTTTGCCTTGCTGTACGTTGCTCTAGTAACCTAAACCCAACCTAAAGAATCAATCAGTTTTTAGCAATTTTTTAGAGCAAAATACAATTAAACTTTTGAATTTCACGGTAATGTTTCTTCGTTCATTTACCAGAAGAGTTATTATGGTTACGTACAATTCCCTCTGCTTTTTTCGCTCCAAGAATCTTTCCAGCCCGGCGGGCACGCATCCGTCCCTAGTTAAATGCTCCTAACGTTCCAGTTTTACCTCCACCTGGAGTTGGCAAACGGGGAGGAAGGTCATCCCCCTCCCTTTCCTTGCAACAGCTCAACGATGGCGACGTACGAACAGCGCGGCATGCTCGGTTAAGTGTTTCGTCATGGTACGTTTTAATTAAGCGCATATTTTGCGACGAGCATTCCACTTTTAGCCCTTGCCTGTGCCTCCTCAGTCATCCGCTGCTGGGCACGATTAGGTTCAAAGGGTTTGTCAAAACAGAACAAACTGGAAGAAGCACCAGAGTAACAAAAAAGTTTATATTGTATAGATCTCAAAATTATATTGAATTAACGAAAATTATTGTTACCTTCTATTTGTGTCATCAAATGGAAATAATTTTCGTAAAGCGAAATAAATTCGTAAAAATAAAATAAAGTCAATAACTCGAAAATTCGACTTTTCAAGTGGAGAAAGATACGTCAAAATATTTTTCAATACCGTTTGATAGAGAGTTATCCCGTGGTCTAAAAGGAATTTTTAAGAATGTCAATTATAAACTTGTGTATAGTGCTAATAATAAATTACAACAATTATTAGGTAATCCAAAGGATAAAACACCTCTACTGGAAAGGTCGGGTATTTATGAAATTTCTTGTAAAGATTGTAATCAGAAATATGTTGGGCAAACTAGAAGATCTATATTAACTAGATTTAAAGAACATTTAGCTCAGATAAGATATGGTAGACCTGATAAATCTTGCGTTGCCGAATATAGTGTTGATAAAGAACATTGTATAGATCTTAATAACTTAAAATTACTTAAACAAGTCTCAAATTACAGGCAATTAGATGCATATGAAAGCATCAGAATTAATAAATGTAAAGATAGTATGAACAGAGTCAACGGTCCAATTCATTCAAGTTCTTTGTTCCTACTACTCTAGTGGCGGAAATCTAACTGTTACGCTCGGTGGGTTCTGACTCGGTTGGCTAGATCTTGCCACGCCCACTCTGTGCCCACTGAGCAAGTATATAAACGCTCCAATTGTAGATTGTAGTTTAGTTTATGATTATCTGCTGATGATGCTAACATGGTTAGCGAAACGCGAGTCCAGTGTAAAAGTAAAAGTGTTTTGGTGTATTGTAGTGATTTAGTGTTTTTATTTTGCTGTGTAACACCAAAGGTTCCATCCCTCAACTGTAATATACAGGAGGTTCCATTAAAAAAAAAACTTTGATATGCCACGACTTTATGACTCACCCTCTATACTTAAATTTATTTATGTGTAAATCAAATTAAAACTTGGCCCAAAAAGTCATACAGGGTGAGACAAAATTAATATTGAGAGACATTTTTACATTAATTAGTAGTAGACAATAAAATTGATTTTTATTGAGAAGAATTTTATTTTTTCTCAAATCTGTTCACTACTAATTAGAATATTTTATCACTCTGAAGGGATAAAAATCGCACGCGATTATGATGACAAGTAGGCTTGTTTTATCCCGTATACCCCTTGTAGAATTCGCTGAGCGGTTTCAAAGAGCCTGTCAAAATGGAGCAAACTGGCAACTATGCACGCCTGGCTGACTTCAAAAGCAGCGAATGCAGCCGGAAGCTTTTGGAGAGATGTTTATTTTAGAAAAATTTTCGATGTAATAAAATTCCAGAATTATTTTGGGTCAAATTTAAGCCATTTTTTTGCCGAGTTCCATGTAATTAACCAATTTGTATAGAAGATTATATACAGGGTGGTCTGAACTGTATTCCGGAAACTTCGGCAAAATATTCTGCAGATAATTTTTGTAATAAAATATAATAAATAATTTGTTGAATTTTTATTGATGGGACGCGTCGCCTATTTTTTACGAAAAACATTGAAAGAATATCGTTTCCCCTCTCACGGATACCCCGTAGCTACAGAACGGACAGACGTACTGTAAACAATTTAGTAATGCGCTGCCTTC